TTTTATCACATTTCCTCATTTTTCTCAGTTATCAGCCGAGAGAAAAGAGAGAGAGTCTGAGAATTCTCTCAACTCTCTCTCCAGTAAGGGGCTGAGCTGCTGCTCGCAGACGGTGGCGCACGACGGCCCACGGTGGTCGGAACTACCCAACCTACCTCAAAACACTCTTCATGTCACCCTCAACCTATTCCCCAACCTAGATTAGCCTAAAACCGCCCCTAGAGCTGTAGATCTAAGCCATTACCTTTAGAAAAAACCGAGCTCTGACGACCCTCCAACTTCCAACGTGATGACCCGAGGTATGTATCTTTTTTCTTTCTTTCATTTTGTATTCAAATCTGATTTTTGTTTCCTTTTTTTATATGTTTTCCTCTCTTGTTCTTAGTACATTTTTTTTCAAATGTATCTTCTTCTTTTTCTCTGATCTCTCATTTTTTCTCTCTAAAAACCCGAATGTTCTTTGATCTCCTGTCTGCTCTAGTTTTATCCCCTGCTGTGATTGGTCTTGGTGATGGCTTTGATAGATTAGATAGCCCCTTCGGATTCCTCAGGATTTCATTTGGATTTGTTCCCATAGTTTATTGAATTGTTTCTCTCACTGTTGATATGATTTAGTTGATGGTTGTCATTGATTAAGTCACTGTTTGATGCAAGTGGGAACAATTAGATGAACACTCGACGGTGGTAGCAATGGCAGGCGGCGACGATAGGTATCATACCTTTAGGGTTAGGGTTTCAAAAACCCTAGGGCCAGGTCGGATCCTGGGTTACTGGGTTGATTCGTGTTGAGTTGGGTCTCGGGTCTGGTAGCAGTTGGGTCGGGTCTGCTGTAATTCGTTGTTGGGTCCGGGGTTGCTGGGTTGGCTTTCTGGTGGGCTTGTAATTTGATTTGGGCATCGATTGGCCTACAAAAAATGTAATAGTATAATTGTTAGAATAATAATAACAATAATAATAAACTAATTAATAAATTAATTAATTAATAATATTTTTGGTAAACCCAGACAAAAACGTGTGTTTACACCCTTCATTTCCAAATTAAAGAAAAATGATAAAACTATACCACTAGTGCTTAAACTTTTTAAATTCTACAATTTAAATTTCAACTTTTATTATGTGTTCAATTTAGTCTTTACATTCACCAATATTTAAAATGTCAAAAAAACGAAAAGGAGAATCGGGTAAACGAGCTTGTCCATGAACATAAATAAACGAGTCGATAAACAAACTTATAAACGAGCTTGTTTGTGAACAAAAACGAACCGAACACACTTTTGTTCATGTTCGTTCGTTTATTAAATGAACATAAAAAATTTGTTCATTCTTGTTTATTTAGGTTAATGAACGAACATAAACAAACAGTTCATTGAACGCTCTGTTCATTTAGATCCCTAATTACACATAAAATTAACTTAGGAGAATTTATCGATTAGTTTCAGTAGTAAACGAAAATGTTATTTTTCTTAGAAATTTCAAGTTAGAGAAATTATTTCTGCAAATGTTTATTAATTGTCAACTGATTAAAAAAATTCTGAACAGATATTACCTTATAATCATTTTAGACTACTAAAAAATCGACCCAAAAGAGTTAAAGCTTTCATATGCATAATGGAGTTTGGGATGACATCTTACATATAAAAATACCGTGAAAGTATAATTGTGTTTTTTCTCTCCTTAATAGTAGAATAGGTAATCATACTAGGTACAATAAAGTAAAACATACTACTAAAAACACAATTAATTAATACTAACTATAATAGATAATTATAATTAGTGTTAAATATGAACTTATCAAGTAACCTTAGCGATAAATGAAAATGTTGTTCTCCTTAAAGATCATGAATTCGAGCAGTTCTCCTTAAATATACTATTAAACATACATGTATTGTCAATTGATCAAGAAGATTTTAAACATATACTACATTATAATCATCCTAGACTATTAAAAAAATGATGTTAAATATAATTATTAGTGAAACTAACTCAAAATATTTTTTTAGTCTAATGGTTAGGTGTCTTGCCATGGCAAAATTGCTTAAATGGGATGTTGGAAAAATAGTTGGCTCGTATAAGGTGCCAACGAAAATATTTCTTGAAATGGTGTGATCGTTATAGTGACGGGGAAGATGTCGAATATATAATGTTTCTCACTCATTTTTCACACAATTGAAATGTTAAAATTGTCAAGATTACAAAATGAACAAAGCAAGAGGCACATTGTGGTCGCCGAAGACACATCGTGTTCCCGACGTCTTTTTTATGAGCACTGTAATAATCACACTGAATCATAAAATAATTCTAACGAGACCTATATGATCCAATCATTTTTTGTAATGCCCCACACTAACAAATTTGTCATCTTGCCCCCAACCAAAGGAACCAGGGTCAATTCCCATCTATTACAACTTTGTTGTGCTGTAACCGACCTTCGGGTGGTCCCGTAATTGGGTTCTGACTTAAATTGATGTGATGGAGTCATCACCGATCATTTTAATTTGGTTGATCGGATACCATAACTTACCATTGTCATGATCTACGATTTACCAGAAACTTCTCATATTCAGGAGTCGATTACAGTCAGGGAAGGATTAGCACCCTTGTATTACCCTTTCGGTACCAATTTGATTTCTCGATTGTCTTAATTGCGAAAATTAAAAGCTAAAATAAAAATTTTAATATTCGATCTGAATTAGTTACCTTTGACCAATTTAAAATTGCCATAAAAAAGTAAAATTAATGTTAAACAATAAAATAAAATAAAATAATAAAAAGTATTAAATAAAAAAACAAAAATTAAAGAGGATTAAATTGAAAAGGATTAAAAGATTAGGGGTCAAATTGATTCTAAATGAAAGCTGGAAGGAAAAATAAAAAGGTTAGAGGCCAATTTGCAAAATATAAGAAATATAAATAGGTATTAAATTGAATTACTTCAAAATTTAAGGGCAAAATTACAATAGGTGACCAAAATGAATTACGCACCAAAATTGTAGGGACTGAGGAAATAATTTAACTATTTAGTAATTACACAAAGGCTCTCCGTATAAATAGCCCTTAAAATCCCCAAAATAAACCCCAAACTAAGATTATAAATGAGACGAGACAGATCGTGAGCTACTCGAGATCGATTCGATCAAGGCTCGATAAATACTCAGATCAAATGGACTCGACTCGAGCTCTTAACGAGCCGAAACGAGCTACTCGATATTCGACTCGAAAGGCTCGTGAACAGCTCGAAAATATAATATATTAAGATTTTATTTTTTAAAAAAATAAATTATTAATAATATTAATATTTATGTATTGATGTTTTAAAAATACAGTAAGATTTCATGTATTTAAGGTTCATGTTCGAGTTTGAGGCTTCAATCGAGTTAATTTTAAGAATTTTTTTTTCATTTCGAGCCTTTTCGAGCTGCTCACGAGCTTCAGTTCAGGATTTCGAGTTCGAGTCGAGCTTAAAAATTTTAAGCTCGCGAGTGTTCGAGTCGAGTCGAGCTCAATTTCAGAGTTTTCGAGTTGAGTTCAGCAATACTCGAGCTCGACTCGGCTCGTTTATACCCCTACCCCAAACAACATAGATCTAGGAAAAATTATTCTGCTCTTACTTTTTTCGATGAGCCTTTTCAACTTCCAGTGGTCGTTTCCCTCCCGAGCCGAGATCGACACTGCTTTTTTTCCTTTTTTGGCTTGCGAGAATGCTTTGCTTGGCTTTGTTTTGGTGTTTCGATACTCTTTTCGTAGTTTTTCGTATACTTCGATGCTAATATGTTGCTTGCTTATGTTTCTCCAAGCGTTTTGCTTTGCTTCACGGGAGGTTTTTTATATACCTGAATCTGGCCGTTGTGGTCCTGAAAGGGACATGATTTCCATCCGATTCTTTCGTTGGAAATCTGACTGACTTTGTTGAGTTCATGCGAGTTGTTGCTTCCGATTTTTGTAATTTTCCAATTTCAAGTGCCGAGGATTTCGGCCAGTTAGTAGCCTTGCTTGCGCGTGGCCTCCACACGTCATTATCGGTCGCTTCTGATGGATTCTGACCGTTGAATCAAGTGGCCACATCCAACGTCCCTTGTGCGGTTGTGTATTGGTGAGTTTTTTAGGGTTTTAAAACCCTAATTATTACGCAATCTGGGCTATTGATCAAGACTTGATCCTGCAGCTCGAAATGTACGACACCCCTAGTTTAATACAAAACCCTAGCTTGCTGGGTCAGGCGGCTTAGGCTTCTACCTGTTAGGCTCTCACCGGGTTAGCTTGCTTAGTCAAGCCTGCCTACCTAGTTGAGCTCCCTCATACCCTTGTTGGATTAGACCTTTGGACTCTTTTTATTGGACCTAAATAAAATAAATCCAAAATATAAATAATAAATATATGTACTATAATATATAATATATAATATTATATATTATATATATATACTATAATATATAACATAAATATATATAATAATATATAATATATACATATAATATAATATATATATATAAATACTATAATAATAATATATATTATAACATATATAATACATACTATATAATATACTATATAACATACTATATATTTGTATACTTTATAATACACTATATAAACTACATAATATATAATATAAATAATATAATATAAACTATATAATACATAATATAATAATTCCAGTCGCAAATGAATGTCTACATGTTGATATGTTTTGTTTTGTTTTATAAAGATGGTGACATCATACAATACAATGTGAGTATCATTATTAAAATTTTAACGAATTTATTTATAATTTTCTTAAAAAATTAATTATTAAAATAAAATTAAAATAATAGTTAAATAATTCAATACGTAATTTATCCTCAATTTAAATAAATAGATAATGATGAGCCTATTTTACCACCGAAACCTAAATCAAAACAGGTCAAACTATAGTACGGGCTTAAAAAGACATTTGAGTGAATCTGATTCGGCCCAACCAGATTATCATCCTTTTATATATAAACCCTAATCCTCCCGAACGAGGAAACCTTAAGCCAGCAAGAGCAGCGGCGACGGCGGCGGTGGCATTTCTCCCCGAGCTCTTGTATTATAAAGAACCATCAAAGAAAAATGAAGGTTTTTCCCCTATTTCAGTCTTTGTTAATAAGGGAAAATATATATCAGTTCCCTTTGGGTTTTGTTAATTCTCTTCATTTGTTTGTTTAAGTTCAATATTGCAAATCCAACCACTGGTTGCCAGAAGAAGCTGGAAATTGATGATGACCAGAAACTGTAATTTTCCTTCTCCTTTCCCACTTCCCTTATCCAAGAAAATATTGGGTTTGATTTAACTGAGTTGCTCTAAATTTCAATGCTAGTGTTAATTGTTAAAGCTAATGCTTGTTATCTTAATCAATGAACACATCCATATGAAAAGTTGGCTTCATTTTGATTATTTTAAATTGAGTGAGATTGAGTTTAGAGCATTTAGAGATGTGCAAAATCTGGGTGGAAGCAAAATAAAATTTTAGATTATATGTTCATGAAATTTGGATAAATTATTGTTAATAAAAGAGTTGGAACTTAAGGCATAATTTTTTTTGCACTGGTGGGAAAATTTTGATTTTCTTTTATGGATTTTCTGTTATATCAAGATGTTATTTGATTTGCATATTTAGACTTTGTTAAGGACTACAACAATTGTGAAAAAAATGTTTCATCTCTTGTATTGTGGAGCTTTTGATAGTCTTTTATGGGGTATGTGAAAGGAAATATTGTTTATATTTCCCAAATCTAGCAAGCTCAAAAAACGTTCTAGCATGATGTATTTCGTTAATCTTGTATCTCTCCATTCATATATGAAGTTTGGAAAATAATGTCTTACAACTTATAAATTGCTCATCTGCTAAATTTATGTTGACTATTCTGTTAAGGCTTTCTCTTTGTGACTGATTCTTTTCAAAATCCCATCTTTGTAAATGCAAAGAAAATGCAAAGGAAACCCAAGAATGTTTCAAAATCCCACCTTATAGATTGCACCTTAATAGTTTTCTTTTGTTTACTTGTGCAGGAATGTTTTTCTTGTATGGATTTCCAGTTGACCGAATGACTAATTTTCTGTAAATAGGTACTCCCTGCTTCCGTGGATATGGTAGAAGAAATGGAGAGCGCAGTAGGAAGTCGGTTGTCGATGCATTGTTAGTCAAGATCTTTCAGTTCTGAACTTGGTTATTGTGAAGAAGGGTGAAAATGATCTTCCTGGATTGACCGACACTGAGAAGCCAAGAATGAGGGGTCCTAAGAGAGCTTTGAAAATCCGCAAGCTGTTCAACCTCTCTAAGGAGGAGGATGTTAGGAAGTATGTCAACACATATCTGAAGACACTCAATTCCGTCTTTTATTAATATCATTATATTATATAATCATATCGTATAATTATACATATATATATAATATTATTAATTTTATTCGGTATATTTGTGCAGGCCCGATATATCAAATAAAATAGCCTGTTGCACATGGCCCGACAAGACCCAAATCCCACGTGAGCAGCAAGTTTCCAGAACCCTAGCTCCACGCCTCGTTCCAGGAGCCTCGTTCCAGCGCTGTTTTCCCCCATTTGAAGTTCTCACAACCGCACGTCTCGCCCAACAACCCGTATCATTAGGCGCAGAGATCTCGGTCATCACCAACATATCAATAAACCAACTAGCATTAGAATCCTATTTCTAATAGGATACTAAAAATAGGTTTTTTCGTAATATAAATAACACATGTAATCATCCATTTGGGGAGGAGAGGGATTTTCATATTGAATACAAGCAAAATTACTATCAAATCACAACCAAACATTCAGAGTCAATTCGAAGGTTTCTTGCAAATATTTCGAAAAGAAAGGTAAAAAATTTCATACCTTTGCATGTGGTTTTTCTTGTCTTGTGTCTTTGTTGTACCTTGGGTCGAAAGAAACCCAAAGAGAGCGTTTTTAGCCGATGAACGGAGGGGTTGGGTCGGGATCTTCTTTTGTAGATCTAGCCCCCGAGGCTCATTTTTTATAGAAAATATTTTCATTTTTGAAAACTAGATTTAAAACGCTTTGAAAAACAAAGAAAAAATCGAGTTTTGCCGCTGATGAACGGCGGCCGTCGTCGTTCAACGGCGGCGGCGAGGCGACGCGGTGGCCGTGTTCTGGGAACCACGGCCCTTGTTCTTCATACTGAAGAAAAGTTGAGAGAAAAGAATAAGAGGAGGGCGTTCTGTTTGGAGAGAAGGAAAGAAATGAAATTTTAAAACCAGATTTTGGCCCATATACACCCCGGAACCCGCGTGTTTTTAAAGAAAATGGGGTAAACTACCCTTTTGGTCCCTCGTTACTTTTAAAGAATTATTTTGACCCCGAATTTGCTTTTGAATTGGTCTCTGATTTTGATTTCCTTTTAATTTAGCCCCCGATTCAATTTGTGTTTTAAAATTTTATTTTTATTTATTTATTTTTCTTGTTTTTTTACATATTACGTTTCATTATTATATATTTTATTATTATTATTATTATTATTATATATATATTTGATTATATTTTCTATTTTATTTTCTATATTCCTTTATTTTTAGTTTTTTATTTGTTTATATTATTATTATTCATAATATTATTTTCTTTTTTCTACTCATTTATATATATATATATGTATTTTCTATTTTTTTCCCTCATTTTTTAAGCACCGTTATATATCTTTTTAGTGTTTTTTTCTTTATCATTCACTTATTTGTTTCTTTATTATATATCTTATTATATGTATGCATTAAACGTTTTGGCCCTTTTTTTTATCCTAAGACTTTATTTTCCCCCCTTACTTTCGGTGAAATGATGGGGAAGCTTTCTTTACATTTTTTATATATATATATATATATATATATATATATATATATATATATATATATATATATATATTTCATTTATTTATTTATTTTTCCTTTTATTTTATTTTTTTCTACTTATTTTTATTCTGCATTTTTTATTTATATAGTTTTTCCCTCTAACACATCTTATGACTTTTTAAGGGTATTTTCATCAATTAATCAGAGGTAAGTAATTCATGATCAAATTTTACCTTTTAATTTAAAATTACAAGTTTCTTAATTAAGACAACTGAAAATTATGTAGTACCGAAAGGGCGGTTCAAGGGTGCTAATCCTTCCTTGACTGTAACCGACTCCCGAATCCGACACATCTTTGGTAAGACGCAGATCAGGTAAGAAATAAGGGATTCGGTCAACCTATTTTGTTTAAAATAAACGATCGGTGGCGACTCCAATCCATTTTCCTAAGTCGAAGCCCAATTCCGGGGCCCAACCAAAAGATGGTTGCGACAGCTTGGTGACTCCACTGGGGATAGGTAAGTGAGTCAGGCTAAGGTAATTTCCAGTTGTCTTTTTAATGAAAATGGTAAGTTTGAACTTTAAGGTAACATTTCGATCCTTATTACTTACTTTTGGTTATATTTTTTTTCGAGCAAATAGTTAGACTGACCGTTTTCTAATGATTTCAGCTTTCCAAACTTTTTCATCCAAAGGCTCTATACCCGAGCTCTGAACCCTTTAAGTGGGGGTGAAAGCGACGCATTCGTGTGAATTTATTCACCGCATATGCCTAGCAAGTAGCCTTCGGGATTCATATACCTTATGTCTTCGTGTGAATTTATTCTCCGCATAGACATAAGAGAATGTGTCCCCTCGAGTTTAACTTAGTCCACACAAGCCTGTGATGGGTTTAGGACTAAGGGTCTGGTAAGCCCAAGGGGGCACCGGCAAGGAGGACTCGAGTACCGTTTTATAACCTAAACCGGGAGACTTTTGAAGAAATAGAGCCTACCCCAAAACCACATTCCAAAACCTAAGACATTGTTTACCTAACCATGTTTTTGTCCCTATGTTTTTTCCCTTGCCATTTTTTTTCTTTTTTCATTTATTTATTTATTTCTACTTTTACTAACTTTTTGCCTTTGTGTTTGTTCTTTAGCATTTGCATCATAACAAGAGGCCATTGATCCCTAAAAAGACGTTCATTACACACAAAATAATCTGAATTAATGGATAAAGGTGTTGTAATACAAGAGATTAAAAACCCCGAGGTACGACTATGGTCCGAGAAGACTCAGAAGGAAAAGGGAGACAGTCTTCAAAGCAGCTATGTGTCAGAGCTGGTTAGCTACGCCTCGATCAGCCTAAAGCAGAATGACGTGCAAGAGCTTTGGGACATCTGGGACGGTTGGAAGAATGAGGTGAAACAGAAGTTCAACCAACGGTACGGTGATGTTGCACTTTTGCTTCATGTTAAGACTGATGAGCCCCTAATCAAAGCCTTGGTTCAATTATGGAACCCGGGATACAGTTGCTTCACCTTTACCCGGGAAGACATGGTGCCCACCATAGAAGAGTACACTACACTACTGCATTGCGAAAACATCAAACTCGAGCGGGCCTACCTTAAGCACATTAAAAGTCAACCTTTCAAAAATGCACTAGCTAAGGTTGCTGGAGTTGATGAAAAATGGGTAACTGACCGAGCTCGATGTAAGGGTAGTGGAGAAGGAATCGCTTGGCTTCATATCAAGCAACTAATGAAGCACCATCCCGATGAGTGGAAGACAATAGACCTGTTTGCATTAGGTCTGTATGGTCTAATTATATTCCCAAAGACCTTGGGATACATCGATGCCACCGTAGTGGAGCTATTCGAACAACTCTCGAGAAGAGTCAATCCAGCACCAACCATCTTAGCCAAGACCTTCCGATCTCTCAATCATTGTAGAAGAACTGGCGGAGGAAGGTTCACTGGGTGTGTTCAGCTCCTTCAAGTCTGGATTCACAGCCACTTCTGGAAGACTAACGGGGTTGCCTACCGCCGTTTCAGCACCACATATTCACCTCTAGGTGAATTCATCACCAGGAAATGGCATGAAGGCGCCTCAAAGGAAAAATGGATGAAGGTTTTTACGCATCTTCAGGACCGGGATATTGTCTGGAGAGCCCCCTGGTTATTCCTCAGTGACGTTCTTTTCCGATGTGGGGACTCCGACACTATGACCTTACTTGGACTTTGGGGTGCAGTTGGGTATGCTCCATTGTTAGCACTTAGACAGTATGGGGCACGTCAGTTTGTCCCAGCAACATACGGACTAGCTAGGTCAGAGTTTGAGTATCACGGTGACAGCTATAAGAAGATGATCAAAGAAGTAGCTGATTCATGGAGGAAAGTATTCCGGATGGATGTTGTAGCTGCCAGAAGCTTGCTTACTCCTGATTATGTGGAGTGGCGAAGGTTAAGGAAAAATGACAATATTCCGGTGCCAGACTATGAAGACACCCGTACCATGGAGGAACATCTCAGGCATGTCCCTTCTGAACTCGAGATAGCCAAGACCGAGTTTGAAGCTGTGAATAATGAGCTAAAGCAGAGGATAAGGGAACTTGAAGCTGAACGTTATCAGTGGAAGCTTGATGCTGACTCTCAGAAAGATCGGGCAGATAAACTGGAAAAAGAGCAAAAAAGAGTCCGTTTTGAGCTCGAAGACTTGAGAAAGGGGTATCAAGATAAGGTCAAGGATAACTCCAAGTTGAAGGTAACCTCTGAATACTGGAAAGACGAAGCTCATAGCCTGAAAAGGAAGTTCGAGGGGCCTGATGAGAGAGCTTGGAAAGAACAAACGAAGACTGCCCAAAGACGCTTGGCAGATAGTCAACATCAGAACCAGCGCTTGAGAGTTCGGGTAGCTGACTTAGAGAAACAACATGAGAATGATGGCAAGACGATAGCTGAGTTAGAAGCTATTGTAGATGGGTTCAAGAGACAAGCAAACGAGCTGCAGATAGTGCCTTTCGACGGAGGATTACAATGGCGTTTCCGTTGGGAGCAAGCACAGCGAAGGGTGAGGGCCCGAGATGCAACCATCCGAGATTTCCTGGATCAAGTGCAAAAAGCAGGCCGTCATCTTCACGGCCTGGCAAGGGAAGCTGGAGTGGTTCGACAAGGCATTCAACCAGTGACAAATGAAGGCAGGAGACTTGTCAACCTATTGGAAGCTGTTCGGGGTCTAGAGGATTTAGTCCAAATGTACCTTTAATTTGTTTTATGTCTCTAAAAAGATAAAACATTTTTGTCTGAATAAGGATTATTTATAATAATGAACACTTTTCTGGATCAATGCCTCCAAATTGCATACATCATACATTGCTTATTTTGCATTTTTATATTTCATGTTTTTTTTATTTTTTATTTTCCATGTTTTTACATTCGTATTAACTAACAGA